CAGCTCCTGGAAAGCCCTTGGGACCCTGTGGTCATGAGTGCCTATGTGAGGGTGTCTGCGCCTGGCTGTCCTTCCTTTCTGTGCGTGACCAGACATCCTGCCTCTTGCCTGCCCCAGCCACTGTTCAAGAAGTTCACACAGACCCGCTGGGCAACGCCGGTTGAGACCCTGGAGGAAATCATCGCTGCTGTGGGCGTCAGGCTGCCTGAGTTCTCAGAACTGAAGGACTGTTTCCGGGAGGTGAGGAAATCCTCAGGAGTGGACCTGGGGATTGGTGCTGTCTGGACACCCACACCAACTAGCAGTGTTTATACCCCCAAACACTTGTGTTTACACATGCACACAGGAAAGGCCGGCACCCGTGCTCACACTTTTGTCTCTATGCATTCCTGGGTGTTTTGCCTTAGAAGCTTTAGCCCTATGGGTAGGTGCCAGTGGATGGCTCATCTCCCCTGGCTTCTGCCTGCCCAGGAGCTCATGGAGGCCGTGCACCTGCACCTGGTGAAGGAGTACATTATCCGGCTCAGCAAACGGCGCCTGGTCCTCAAGACCGAGGAGCAGCAGCAGCAGCTGGCAAGGCACATCCTGGCCAACGCTGACGTCATCCAGCATTTCTGCACTCAGAATGTGAGCACATCTCACCCCCACCCTGAAACCCTCCCCAAGCCTGGCCAGCTACTGCATTCTTAGTACCCCTGGGGGAAAGGGATATCTATCATCCTCCAACCACCCCTCTGCCTCCAGGGCTCCACCGCAACCTGGCTGAACCAGGCCCTCCCTAAAATCGCTGAGATTATTCACCTGCAAGATCCCAACGCCATTAAGATTGAGGTGGCCACATATGCCACCTTGTACCCTGACTTCAGGTGAGCACTAGAGGCCCTCGGGAACTGAGTAGCTGGTTTGTCCCTGCCAGGTCCACTATGCTCTGAGCATGCTGGGACTAGAGTCCCCCTCACGATCCCCTCAACTGCTAAGGTTCCACCAAGGTGAGATCGTAATGTCTGATGCTCAAGGTGACTTGGGAGCATGAGCTTGTATCTTGCACCCTCCTGTTCCTGTTAATGACCTATCTGAGAACGCAGTCAACCATGGACGGTGTTCCTTCCTAGGCTGTGTCCTCTGATGGGAAAGTATGAATTGGTCTTGACTGGGGTTGACGTAGCTTAGCCTAGTCTAGTGTGTGGCTGACCCACTCCACCTATTCAATCACCTATGTACATATTTTGACCTACATACATATAAGCCCCATCCACCTCTACCGACCCACCTATTCTTTGTATTTGCCCACTCTTCTGTCCATCACATACCTATTTGTCTCCCTGTCTACCCACCTTCCCGTGTGGTCATCCATCTGTGCTTACGCTAACCCGCCTCTCCACTCTTCTATTGACCCATCTGTCCATCATTCCAGCTATCTGTCCGTTTGTCCACCGACTCATCCACCTGTCATACATCCAACCATCCATGCAGTTACCCGTCCATCCTTCTACTTCCTCACCAACCCACCTGTGCACTGACCCCATCCCTCATCCTTCTCTCCCGGGACCCCAACTACAGTCATTTATCAGTCTTCCAGACACTGGACTCTGTCTATGCTGTGCCTTGTTCTGGGATACAGGGAAGCACGGGTCTCAGTCCTCTTCCTATAGCTTACAGTCTGGCGAGGGTTAACCCTCGCCAGTGTGGTGAGGCAGAAAGAGAAAATTCCAGGTTGTAGGGTGAAATCATCTTAACCACTGAGCCATCTCTCCAGCCCCAAATATTTATTTATTTATTATGTATATAATATTCTGTCTGTGTGTATGTCTGCAGGCCAGAAGAGGAGGGTGAAATCATCTTGAATTACGGGGGGGGGGGGAGGTGCTGGTCAGAGAGGACAAAGCCATCTAGACAGGTAACGTTTAGTTGAAACTCTAGATGGGAAGAAGTCAGCCACCTCAAGGGTGTGCGGAGAGATACAAAGGTCTGATGGGCTGGAAAGTGGAGGAGGTAGAGAGGACAGGTCACCTACTGGGCAGAGTGACTGACTGCAGGTTCTGTATCAGGGCCTGGAGTTAGGGGGCCAGCAAGGACTGTGAGCAGGGTTGGTTATGACCAGTGGGACTGACAGGGTGCTCTCTTTGCCAGCAAAGGCCACCTGACCGCTATCCTGGCCATCAAAGGAAATCTACTAAGCAGCGAAGTCAAGAGCATCCGGAATATACTGGATATCAACACCGAGGTGCAGGAGCTGTGCAGGCCCCTGTTTTCACTTATAAAAGTTGGCTAGCTTTTCCAGATGTCTGATGTGCTAACGGGCACACAGCGAACATCTGGTACCACTCCAGTTGGGGATGATCCATGACACCGGCACTGTGACCCACCACCGACCTCCCATGTTCTTCTAATGCTCCTGACTAGCCCTGACTCTAGAACAAGACCTGGCAGCCACGATTGAGCAGACCCCTGTCCAGTGGGGCCCAGAACCCACTGTGGGAAACTGACCTGTGAGCCCACAAGAAATTTCTCGTAAATGATGGTTCATCTTAGGCAGAGTGCCCCTCCAGCTCCCTAGGACCAGTGATAAAGCCTCATCCTGCTTCCTGCAGCCCGTGGGCTGCAATGAGATAGAGCTGAAAACACAGGAAAAAGGAAAAGATAATCTCTGCATCTGGGGCCTGGAAGGAGACTCGTGAAATGCCATGGCAGAGCCAGCATCAGAACTACTTCCGTAGTGGCCCCTGGCCCTGCAAGTAGCTCCTGGTGCCACTCAGCCGGGAGGACCCGCTTCTTCACTCCCCATAGGCTGCCCCTGTGTGTGTGTGTGTCTGGACAGGAACACGGGGTCTGCAAGTGTGTGCTTAGCTTCCTGTTGATGCTGTGCCACATTTTCACACACAGAGTGGGTTTGAACCAGTTCTGCAAACAGTGAGGTGTGACACAGGACTGTAATCTCAGTGTGGTCAGGGCCCATTGCTTTGGAGGCTCCAGGGAAGAATCATTTCGTGGGCTTTCCCAGGTTTTAGAGGCTGCCCACATCTCTTATCTGAGACCCTATACCTCAGAGCCAGGAGCAGTTACTGTGTCCTTCATGCCACCGCGGTGTCTCCTGCTTCCAATCCTGCTGTGTTGAGGACCCCAGGATGCACCGAATCTGCCTGGAGACGTATCAGCAGCCCTGAGTCCAGCTGCACATTTAATTCCTGTTTGCCATGTCATCCAATAGTCCTTAGCTTTGGGGACCCCTGGAAACCAGAAACTCCGTTTCCCATCAAGCACCTGCTACTCCATAGACCCTTCTCCTCTCTGGCCATGAAAGCCCTTCTCAGCACTGAGCCAGCCTTGATTATTTCTCGTGGTTCAAGGCTAGGATTTGAAGTCCCCTTTCCCAGGTACTTGCCTTACAAAACTGGCCAGGAACTGGCTGGTAGAAGCAATGCACAAAGGCCTTCATATTTTTGTAGATGTTAGCTTGTTTGATGACATTACTATTTGTAATATTATATTTATAGTATTGATTTTGTATGCATGTACTCAGGACAGAATTTAGGGTGGTTGTTTTTTATATAGCTTGATATAAAACTTTTCAAAAGTGACGGTAGAGTGGTTTATTTAAAGAACTGCAAAGTTGGGGGAGGGATTGGGGTGGCTCTAGTAGCTTCTTCACCTCCTGTTGGCTGCAAACCCTCTCTTCCCTAGTTCTGGTTCATAGTTACAGTCCTGGCTTCCCAGCTCTTGTGGTCCAACCTGGAGAATGCCTGCACCCTTGCATGACCCCAGGCCTAGTCCTTCACCACTCCCTGTCTTTTTGCCTATAAGTTGGAACTGATCACCTTGGGGCTGGGAGGTATAGAGGGTCATTGGAAAGGTGAGGTGTGAGCTGCCATCGTGTTAGCTCCATGCTTGGATCCGAGTGAACAAGAAGGTCCTGGTTTGTGCAGGCTGGAAGTGCATGATGGCCACCTCCTCTGCACCCCAGTTCTGATCTAGGATTTGGGGCAGAGTTGAGTCGAGGACAAAAAAAAGAGGGCATAACAAATCCACTCCACGAAGTTCAGGAACTATTTAGAGGGTAGTGATGAGTTGGTGCCCCCCCATAGAGGGGCGCGTGTGTGTGTGTATGTGTGTGTGCACATGTGTTGCTGCAGAATTTCATGGTATGGGGATGGAATGAATCCCACCACAAAGTGGGCACACAGCCTGGCAGGAGACCCAAAGGACAGGACAGCTGGGCAGGACCCCTCACTGCTTGCCACTGGCTGCCATCTTGTGCTGGTTTGAGTCTCCTTCACAGAGCCCAGGGAATTGGAGTCAGGACATTCCTACCTTACGTGGGACTTCCCCGCTAGGATGAAGATAAGGGGACACTAACTGGGTCAGAGGGTCCCACAGAATACACTGAGCCCCAAAGGGCCAGGGTGCCGAGTGGAAGATAACAGCGCCTGCGTGACCACAGTGGTCCCTGGCGCTCGGTGAGGATAAGGCCCACCTTGTTACCAACCTAACTGCCACCTGAGTTCTACCCCAGTTACTGCTCCAGGAAAATCTCACAAAAAGCAGGATTTGTCCCAGAGAAAGGAAATGAGTCACTGGGCTTGGGGCAGAAGCTCTGCGCAGCAGGCCAGTAGGCCAGCAGGCTCCAGAACTCTGACACAGGGGAGAGGTCACTACCTGATGTCATCTCTGCCACTGGAAGCAGAGTTATTCATCCACCAGGGTTTGCACCCAAGGGCTCATTTCCTTGATGCCCACTGTTTTCAGAGGCCCCGCAAACACCAAGGGAGAAAATAGATGAGACCGAAATACAGCAGGGTGCTGTGGAGGTGACACAGGAGGGACCAAGGGGGTGACTCTAGCTGTGGTTTTATGGAGAACTGGCTAAAAGAGGAGACAGTTGGCTGAGATCCCAGATTTGAGGCGCCCCGGCACAGACCTAGACTAAGCACACTTGGACAAAAGCCGGCAGATGGGAGCTGGGGTGAGTCAGGCTGTAGGGAGAAGGTGGGGGGGCTTGGGGGTGAAAGCAGGCCCAGGAGGAGGTTGGAACAGGCTAGAAAGCAGTGAGAGACAGGCCAGGCCGAGTTCATTCCAGCTGTAGAGAGTTTCAAAGAGAAGATTTGGTGATTTAGAGACAGAGAAGACCCACTGAGTTCCCCAGCGGGGAGAGGTGGGGTAGGGAGGGCACTGACTGGACAGAGATGGGTTAGCTCTGTGCTAAAAGCATCATGCTATGGTCAGACGCACTACTCTCAGAGGTAAGCAAGGCCTTGGGGGGACTGGAGGGCTGGGAGTCTGGGGGACTTGGGGAGGAACTGAGCCAAGCTCAGTTTGAAAGGTCTGCAGAAAGGGGCTGTGGCTCCTTACAAGATGTGAGGAATGACAGCGCCCTGGGTAAGGTGGTCGGGCACCCGTTCTGAGGATATCTGTGCACAGTTCTGGGGAGGCGGGGCTGAGGCTAGCAGATCTCATAACTGGGAGCCAGTTGTGCCCTTTCTGGCCCTTTATCTGATCTGTAATTCACCAGTTATACAAAGTGACAGGGGTATTGGGCCAGTCACTTCCATTGTCCCAGCAAAATACTGGAAACTCCCAAAATGCCCATCAGTGGGCAGCTGGGAAAATCTCAGCACACCCAACAATGGAGGCCTGTGCGGCTGTAGAGAGGGGGAGAAAGGTCTCTCTGTGCTGACTAGAAAATGCAGATCATACAACGTTACGGGAGAGCACGGTATATAACAGTGCACCATGTTCTCCCTTTAAATAAATGCAAAAGGAACGTGAATGTACATTTGAATCTGCTGAGCGCAGCTGTGGTGATTTCATGATGGAGCCACTTGTAGATATTAGTGTTTTATACTTATTCACTCAACTGAGGGACCGAAGGCAGGTGTTGCTGGAGACTCAGGAGTGGAAAGGAGCCGCTACATTCCCAGTGTAGGATGGTCCAGACGCAGCATCTGGCTGGAGCAGGCACAGCACAGCACAGCATGAGCTTCCTCAGCACTCAGGGCAGACCGGGAGTGACAGCTGCGGTCCTAGCAAAGAGCCAATGCAGGGGAGGCATGAGGGGCTTTTTGGGTAGAAGCTTTCGCTGAGAAGCCTCAGGCTTTCAGCTGGCAGAGGGAATGGGGCATGTGTGAAGGGGTAAGGAGCTCTGACAAGGTGCCCTGTGGAAGGAGCCCCAGCAGGTAGAGGAGTCGGTCACAGGAGTAAGGAAGGGCAGAGACGGGACTCCAGGACAGGGCTGGGGTGTCACCCAGCAGTGTGGCTGGCATCACTGGGAGTTGAGAACTCAACGAACTGGTCAGTGTCACATGGATGCTGGTGCGGGCACCAGATGCTGCCCTTGGAGAACCCAGGTTGAGGCCCAGAGAGACAGGAGCGGATGACAGCAGCCTAAATTCAGAGCGAGAGCACAGTGAGTGGGTGGGTACGGACCTCAACGAGGCCTTCCCTGACCTGAGGCAAGGGGCTAGTTCTCAGTTTACCAGCAAGACTAGTCTTGGTCTTCTCTGGAGTCTCCCCTGAGAATGATGAATATCTGGGGTCCTAGTTCCCTGAGTCTGAGCTTGGGATGGGGTGCAGACACTAAACCTATGCTAAAGACTAGATGAGTCAGGGCCACACTGCTGTAATGGTGGAGTCTAGTATCAGGAGGAGTCAGGGGCATTGGCTGTCAAGACCCACACTAGTGGGACAGCCCTCCTGTGGGATGGAAGAGTGTCGGAAGATGTCTGGGATTGCATGCATCCAGAGGCTGGGCTCACAGCCTCCTGTCATCGGGTGCCTCAGAGGGTCCTAAAGCTGATGATATGTCCTGCCTGGCCTGGACACGTGATAGCAGGCCAATTTTATTCACGGCAAGAAAGAGCAAGCCTATTGCAGTCTTCTCCTTCCTGCCTGAGCCACATTAGTTGATGTCGAGTCCGTACGTAGGAGCTGGAGAAATGGATTGGTATTTGAAGGGAGGCGTCGGAGTGCTCACAGCCATCCCTCTGCTGGTTTATCGCAGTCCATCTTGACTACAGCTGTGTGCATTCCTTTCGGGAACAAAATGTTTCCCCCTGCCTAGTTCCCCAAACTTCTCTGTGATAGTGATCACGGCTGCCATCAACAACCCTGTGATCTTTTTGGAACTGAGTGCTGAGTCTCAGCATGTCTCCATTAGTGAGGTAGCCCTTCCATCTGCTCATCACTGGGTTGGAGAGCAAGGCCTCAGTCCTCTGCCCCACTCCACTGAGCTACACTCCTACACCCTTTTAAAGACAGTATTTTAACCCCGAGGCTCACCGCCTGCCCTGGCTGGCCTGGAATTCATGATACTCCTCTGCATCCCCCACTCTCTCTCTCTTTGGATTTTTGGTTTTTTGGAGGCAGGGTTTCTCTATGTAATAGTACTGACTGTCCTGGAACTCCCTTTGTAGACCAGGTTGGCCTCGAACTCACAGAGATGACTGGACGCTTAACATGGGACAGCACAGGACAGGACAGGATAAGACAGCTGCTTTTGGTAATGTCATGAAGAAGGGCCGATAGACTCTTTAACAGACCTTGTCCCCAGCCCAGAGGAGGACAAGCCTAAGGCCTAGTTCTGTCCCCTGGGGTCTCTCTAGTCTTCTTATGACACTTAGCTATGCAGAGGGCTCTGCCTTAACAAGTGGTCTTTGTGCCATCTACGGCCAACCAAGAGGTGCCAGGAGAGTAGTCTGACCGGGGACATCTAACATAAGGTTCTGGCATGGGGTTAGAAACAAGGCATCTCTAGATATATGAGCACTGTGGCACACACCTTTAGTCCTGCCCTCAAGAGTCGGGGACAGGCAGAGCTCTTTGAGTTCAAGACTATCCTGGTATACATAGTGATTTCCAGGTCAACCAGGGCTACATGGTGAGACACTATCTCAAAAATGGATACATAAATTAATTAAATTTAAAAGAGAACTACCAAAAAAATAAATAAACCCCAGGAATATCAGAGTTAGGCAATGGCCACCAACCATGGCGAGGCTGAGCCCCAGGGAAGAAGTCAGTCCTTAATTCTGTCAAGCCTGTTGCTCCCTTCCGGCTCCTGCTTGAGTCACACACAGGCAGTGACTGGCTGGGCTTGAAAGCTTGTTGCAAAGTCCTGAGAGAAGCAGAGAGAAGCTATGACCCCAGTTACAACAAAACAAAACAATAAAAACCCTCTTTCTTCTTCATGGTCCTTCCAGCGCCCTCTGCAGCTGAATACCACCAATTAGCAAGGGCCGAGTCCCAGAACTTGAGGGAGCAGAGCTGAGAGGCAGCAGGCTTCCTCTGCGGTTTTTTTTTTTTTTCTCACATCCAACATTTCATTCCTTTTATTATCGTATCTTATAATGACCCCGCTGGCATCAAGTCCTCTGTGTAGCCCAGTATGACCTTGAACTCCCTATCTTCCTGTCAGCCCCCAAAGTGCTGGGATCACAGGTGTGACCACCACTCCCCATTTGTGTGGTGCTGGGGATTAGCTCAGGGGCGAGCACCCTTCCAGCCCAGCTGTGATCTGTCTTAGTATCGCAACACAAGCTGTACATCCTCCAAATGTAGCCAGATTAGGAAGAGGCACCTCAGTTTCCCTTAGTGATGTCTCATGCCTGGCTCCCCAAAACTGGTTTATGGAATAAGATGCAAGGAAGTAAAACGGAAACAAATCAAATCTTATTTAGTGGCAGAACCACAATTTCAGGAGCCATAGTAAACTACAACCATTTTCAGAAGACTGAGGCAAAGGAACTGTTTGGGGCAGTCAAGGACTGTGGGGTATTTAAAATTTATTTTACCTTTCTCTCTCTCTCTCTCTCTCTCTCTCTCTCTGTATGTGTGTGTGTGTGTATGTGTGTGTATACCATGGCATGTGCATGTGTGGAAGTCCAGGACAAACTAGGGTTAGTCCTCTCTCTCTCTCTCTCTCTCTCTCTCTCTCTCTCTCTGCCACTAAACATGACTTTTCTCTACATCTGCCTTGTAGGTTCCAGAGTTCAAACTCAGGTACTCAGGTAGGTCATGAGGCTTGGTGCAAGACCCTTTACCTACTAAGTCATCTTTCCGGCTCCAAAGAGAAGTGTTAAAAGGCAAAACAAGATAATTTGAAGTACTTATCTTTAGCACAAGGGTTAGCATGAACATGACGTCAGCCGGGGTCGCTGGGCAGATGTTCTTGCAGAAGTGTCCTTGTCTCAGGATTTGGTGACCTTCGTGTGAGGCTTTTAGGATCTTACTCAGGCAAATACCTGTGGGAACCTTTCCCTTGCCACCTCTTGAATTTTGTTATGGTTGATAGCAAATTCATCTTGACTTTGGCAATTTTTGCAGAAACATTTCAAGCCATTAGGGCAACCTCATTCTAGATTCTTGGTTCAGAGGCATCATGAGCCCTCAACAGCCATGTGGTAATGTCATCCCTCAACTGAATGGGGCTGTCCTTGTGCTCATAGTTGAAGTGTACTCCTTCAAAGTGGCAAAATTCAAGGCTCTGTGACAAGAAGTCAACATCCTGTCCATAGGTGTGGGGGGCGTGGGAATGTGGAGGGCACAAGGAGATGGGGGTTACGAGGGCAGGGGGTGGGGCGAGGGGTGTGAGGATGGTGAGGGTATGGAGGCAGTGGGGATATGGGGGCGGTGGGGGTATGGGGCAGTGGGGAAGTGGTGAGGGTGTGGGAACAGAGGGGGCAGGGGGCAAGAGGGTGTGGTGTGGGGGTTGTGGTCCCACCTCACCCCTGTCCCTGGCCTACTGCATTTTTGGGTGTGGAAATGCAACCGCAGTGATCGCTGCTCCGAGGCATGCGTGAAATCCTATAAAGTGGGGCCCCACCCTTCCTGGGTGTGCTGCCTGAGTGGCCCCATTAGAGTCACTCAACCTTCCAGTGAGACCATGTGCTCCCGGGTGAGGGGCAGGTAGTGAGACTGTGAACCGCAGCCCCTGCTGCCCTTGCTTCACAGTGGAATGAATTCCTTAGTCAAAAGCAATGGTCCATGGAGCAGCAAGAGAGTAGCTTGCTATTTGGTGAATCTGCAAACCCAGAGGTCAGCAAAAGCATTATGGGTAGGGAAGGCCAATCCAGTCCCAACATGTGTCTGCTCAAGGAGAGGACATGGTTGCCCTTCCAATGGGCGTGGTCTGACATGTGACTGGCTGCCTTATGGAAATGGTGCCACCAGGGGCCATGTACTAGTTCCTGCCAAACCAGATCAGTCTGGGACACTCATCCCAAGGCACTGAGCCAAGGCATAGGTTTCGTCAGATCACCAAAGCAAACGTGGTTCTGCGGAAAAACGGGACTATCTGGGGAATTGTGTTTCCACATTCACCCTGATGGCCTGGCTCTTGGCCCTTCAGAATGTTACCTTATTTGGACATAGCAATTGCCTAGGATGAGCTCAGTAGGGTGAGCCCTCTTCCAGTGACCAGTGACCAGTGCCCTGAGCAAAAGGAGAGGTGTGGACAGAAGGACAACAGCACAGGAAGCTGGTGGCAGACAGGGGAGGTCTCTACAGTCCCACGAATTTCAAAGACCCACCCAAAGCCAAAAGGAGTGTGGAATGCATCTCCTTCACAATGTCAGACGTGTGTATGCACACACATGTGTGCTCGTGTGCATGTGTGCATGCGTGCATGCGTTATCCTAGGCTTCTAGTCTCCAGAACCATGAGACGATAAACTCTATCACTGAAGCCACACATCCGTGGTGCTCTGTTACAGCAAACCCAGGCCTTTCGCACTGAGCCCCACAGAACTTTGTCCTTTAGATTGATGGATAAGAGTGTTGTCACCTGTAAAAATCAGTGCTCCAGAAACCAGGGGAGAAGGATGGGTTTTATTAAGGACGCCAGTGACCCGGAAAGGAGGTAGGCTAATGCCCACACCCACTGCTCCCAAGACTGAGTGAGGAATCCCTAATGACCTGAGAGGATCAGGTTGGGGCTGAGTGCAGAAGGCGGTTTTCCCTGGAGTTTGAACTGGAATGTCTGGTGTTTTGACACTGGCCGGAAGTGATGCTTACCTAGTGACCTCCTAGTCTTATCTTGACAGTAAGAGACTCAGGAATGCGGACCAAGGAACAGGCATAAAGCAAGATGGAGCCACAGATTGCAACAGGCTGTCACAACACTTCCGGCTAATCAGATCCAATCAGGAAGCGGCATCAATGTGGCGAACTCCTGTGGTGTCTTTGGAATGCTCAGATAAGGTCAGTTCTTAGAGGCACAAGCAGAAGAAAGAAGTGGGTGAAGAGCTGATTAATCCCTACTCGCAGGTTAAGGGATACAGAATTTGGATTAATCCTGACTCATAGGTTAAGAGATACCGAATTTGGATTAATCCTGACTTACAGGTTAAAAGATACAGAATTTGAAATCAGACGATAAAGGTTCTGGAAGCAGGCTGTGGCTTTGGTTTCTAAAGCACTGCGAATGGACTGAATTCCCCTGCACATGACGAACAGGGCTAGGGTGGGCTGGAGAGATGGTTCAGTGGTTGAGAGCACACACTGCTTTTGCAGAGGATCCCACCTTGGTTCCCAGAACCCACATGTCAGCTCACAACCATCTGTAACTCTAGTCCCAGGGAATATACCTCTTCTGACTTTCACTGGGGCCAGGCATGCCTGTGGTTCACAGATATACATGCATGCAAAGCACCGACACACACACACACATATACAAAAACAAATAAATAGACACACTAGAAAAGGGTAAAATGGGAAGCTTTATGTATGTTTTATTGTAAATTAAAAAATCAAAAACCAAACCCAGTGGTGATCGTGCTGATCTTTAATCCCGAAACTGGAGAGGCAGAGGCGGGTGGATCTCTAAGAAGTTTGAGTCAGCTTGGTCTACAGAGTGAGTTCCAGGACAGCCAGGACTACATGGAGAAACCCTGTCTTGAAAAATTGGGGGCGGGGGAGAGAAAGAGCTAGGTGTGGTGTTATTTACCTTTAATCCCATCTCTCAAGGGCAGAGGTAGATGATCTTTGGTGAGTTTGAAGCCAGGCTGGTCTACATAGTGCATTCAGGGCTAGCCAGAGCTACACGTGAAACTGTCTCAAAAAGAAAGAAAAGATAGAAAAAAGTTGGTATGAACTTTCATATCTGTAATCCCATCATTCCAAGAAACTGAGGCAGGAGGATTGTTGGGACTTCAAGGTCATCTTTGGCTATAAAATGAGACCTTGTCTCAAATTTTAAAAAGGAGGAGATGGCTGGAGAGGTGGCTCAGCCATTAAAGACTAGACTCAAACCAAGAAGACAAAAAAGGAGGAGGCTGGAAGGGGTGGATTTGGAAAGAGTTAGGGGAAAGAGGGAATGAATATGTTAAAAATACACTCATGCATACATGGAATTCTCAAAAAGTTACAAAATATTGTATCTTTAAAAAAGAAGAAAAATATTTTTAAATTGCCTGAATGAAAATGGAGACACATCTGACCCTGATGAAGTGGAGCAGAGGTAATGAGCGGAGAACCTTCAGGATAGCTACAAAGTAACCTTCATGCCTGCCGCCTAGAATGTCTTATAAGACTGCTGAAATCACAGTCTCATAGCAAAGGCCCCTTCTACAAGTACAGTGCCAGGCAGCCCAACCGACCGCAAGCTTGCAAGGGCCTTTGAGCCCACTGCCTTGCAGCCAGGTTTGGGCACTGAAGATCTAAGAGCAGCAAACACACATCACTGCCTGTGACAAACCACTGTGACCAATGAACTCTTTCAAAATAACTTTCATGTACTTCTAAAAATCTCCCTCGCCTCAACCTACCCAGATACTCTGATGATCTGTCGTAGTATACACACCCAGGTTGCAATCCTCTGCCCATTCCCAAGTCAGCTGCTCTCCCTACTGCTACTCTGGGTTGGCAACAAAATTACAGATTAAAATAAATCTCCTGCCCCCGGCACAATTACTCACACTTGCACCCATAGCACGTGGGAAGAAGGGGATTTCTCTGAGGAAAGAGCTGACTGGGAGCTGGAGAGGTGGCTAAGAGCACTGGCTGCTCTTCTAGGAAGCCAGGGCTTGCTTCCCAGTGCCCACATCAGTCCCAGGTGAACGCAATACCCTCTTCTGGACTCTGTGCGTACGGGGCACACACACAGTGCACAGACATATAGACACACAAAAATAAATTTAAAAAATAAATAAGAGGCCGGGCGGTGGTGGCACAAGCCTTTAATCCCAGCACTCGGGAGGCAGAGGCAGGCGGATCTCTGGGAGTTCGAGGCCAGCCTGGTCTACAAGAGCTAGTTCCAGGACAGGCACCAAAGCTACAGAGAAACCAAAATAAATAAATAAATAAATAAATAAATAAATAAATAAATAAATAAGAGGTAATTTTGAAAAAGAATAACAAATAACTGTTTTTTTTTTTTTTTAAAAAAAAGGCTGACAACTACAAAGTGCAACTCTATCTCAAAGCAACAACAAAAACAAATTGTATTTTTATTTGGCTGCTTTGGGAAAACAGTGTAGCAGAGTCTTGACTTCTAGAAGCACAGAGCATCAGCTGACACATACACAGGTACTGACTGACCTTACACCTCAGGACCAGGGCCTTTACTTAATCCGCGGATGGCTCATGACTGAATATTTATATCACCTTTGAAAAAAGAGGAACGTAAGCTATAAACAATGGAGTTATTAAAGCAGAAAGGGAAGAGAGGATTTCTGTATATTGTAGCAGAGAGGAGGGGGATAGACTCGTCCAGAGGCAGCATGGGGCAGTGCACTGTTGTCCCTGCCAGGTAAAAGCAAACAGAACCTTGAAACGAATACAAAAAAATAGTGAATAGTCTAGGCCATGGCTGCAAAAGGAGGGCCGAGGTCAAGGCTAACTTGCTCCAGGAAATGTGCTACCCCAGACGACAGCTGCAGGGGTTTTCACATCCAACTCCCGCAGACTGAGCTGGCGAGTCTACTGCTTGGAAATGACTGGTATCCCCATTCCTGCTCCAATGCCAGGCATTGAACTCAGCCTTGTATGTGCTAAACAAGTGTCCCACACTTATCTACATCCTCGGTCCCTTCTCGGTTCCAGTATTGTTTGCTGTGGGAAAATCAATTCCTAACGATCCAGGAGTGTGGTCAGAGTCAGGATCGAGAAATGAGACACCAGAGCACAAAGCTCAGAGAGGCTCTCACAAGACCACCTGAGCTCATACCTGTCACCTAGGGACCTCGTTCTTCACTAGCCCCCCACTCCCAGGCTGTGCTGGCTGACTGTGTGCTCACCGTGAGGCCTGTAGGCTGAGAGACTGCTACTCCTAGCAGGGACAGCAGTGACTGGAGGACTCCAGGCCTCATTATGGAGGTCTGGGTACTGTAAAACCTAGCAGCTAACCGTCTGTGGGTTATGATGTCCTGACAAGCCTTGCAAATGGCTGAGTTATTCTTTTCTTATTGTCTTCATAAGGGAAAGATGGCCAGCTTAAAACGAGCCCTCATTAAAAGATGGATATTCCACAAACTGAGCTGAACAGGTTCCTGACCACAGCTATGAGGCAGAGCTGAGCTGAACAGGAGTTGGATTAAAGTCATAAGGCAGAAAAAGAGACAGATGCGAAATGAAAAGAGATGCCAAGTTTTCATTATGCCCATGGGCATCTTCAGGTCTAAGAGTAGCCTCTAAGTCCCTATTCTGGAAGCAGAAGACACGGGTGAGCGTGGAAGACCCTGGCTAGGGAAAGGGACTGCCAAGGCACAAGACCAATGCTAATCCCTGTCAGAGAGCTCATAGCTTCCTGGGAAAGCACTCCAGCCAAAGAGCATAGGTGAAGAGCTGACCAGCATTTCCCCGGATGGATGAAGGCTGACCAGCACTTCCCCGGATGGATGAGGGCTGACCAGCACTTCCCCGGATGGATGAGGGCTGACCAGCACTTCCCGGGATGGATGAGGGCTGACCAGCATTTCCCCGATGGATGAGGGCTGACCAGCATTTCCCCAGATGGGTGAGGGCTCCATCCATGGGTGAGGGCTCCATCCCTCTGGCCTCCGCTGTTCAAGTTCGTGGCGACGAACTCACTTTGGAACCAGATGTACACATCAGCTTCTAGTCCACTGACACCAAGTGCCTGCACGTGGTGTTGGTAGAACGACACCACCCCTTTGACTGGATCACAGCACAGTGCCCTTGGAAGTATGCCCAAGACCTACTCAGCCCCCACATCCCCGTGCCAAATCTTCCTCCACCCACCACCACCTCAGCAGGCCTTCAGCTGTGGGCTAGATGCAGCAAATCTAGTCCATTTGCCTTATACTTGGTGACATTATCAGACTGGGCTATTTATTTCAAGAACGGTTTAGTTTGCCCTCTGATTTTCTGCGTGAACCTTCTTATCGCGTGGAGGTGAGTGGTGGATTCAAATGTGCATCATGGAACATGTGTAAAACCCTCTGTGTCCTCCGTGGAAGACTCTCTGACCTGGACTTTTTTTCTCACTTTCTCTTAGCAAATCTACATTCACTGTGACACATACACACATGCACGCGCGCACACACACACACCTAGTACAAAGCACGTATAAAACACGCAGAAACTGTCGATGTAGCATCACACTCTTTGTTGGGAGGGACTGATGACCTACCTAGGCACACCCTGTGAAGTGCAGACAGGCTGGAATGAAAACGTGACCATCATGACTGAGGAAGACAGTGTGAAGAACCTGGTCTCTGCTGGCAGGCATTGGGCCCCCCACCGGATAGTCATGCCTGCCCGTGTATCTGCACTGGTGCCTGCCCTGGCAGAAGGGGACCATTAGAACACTCCTACTAAAAGAGTAGAGAAAAGGGCTCAGCATCTTCACTGATGGCCAATCAGGGAAGCCTCTCCTCCTGGGCAGGCTGTGGCACCATGGAAGATGAAGGCTAAGGTCAAAGTTCTTGCATTGTTCCTGCCTAGGAAAACAGAGCATCCTTCCTGTCCTCTGTTGTCGGGCACACTCTGACTAGTTCCCTGCTGCCCACGGAGGGCACTTTGGGAGTTTCCTGAGTTTTCCTGCAACACTGGAAGTGTCTGATCTGGTGCCTGGGTCATTTGCCTAAATACTCGAGTGTGGATCAGAGGAAATCCTAGAAGGACATAGCTGGTGGCTCCCAGCTAAACCCCTGCCCTCGGAGCTGTAAAAACTGATAGCCTTGCTCAGCCTAGCTAGAGTGCAGAGGACCTTAGTCCCGCCTCAAAGCAATGTGCTAGACTTTGCTGACTCCCCATGGGGAGTCTTACACTCTCTGAGGAGTGGATGGGTGTGGGATGGGGAGAAGATGAAGGGAACGAGAGGTGGGGAGGAAGTGGGAACAGGGATCAGTATGTAAAATTTCAATTAAATAGTAATAAAAATTATATCCTCTAAGCACTGAGACATGGAGCCTATGCCTGACAGTTTCCCCACTGTAAAATACAAAGACTCTTTTAGGAAAGTGGATTAATGGGTGCCTGGGGATGAGGATCAGGGAGAGATGAAAGGGACAGATCAAGAAAGAGTGTGAGCAAACTCTTGTGACAAAGACGGCATCTCTCTTTTTTCTCATGATGGCTATGTGTGAATACACACATGAAACCTCGCTGTGTGGTGTGCATCATGTTTACTCAGCTCACAGAGTATATATAATATCTCAATAAAGCTGTTTGAAAACATATATAGCTTATTCTTTTTTGTTCCATCAAGTTTATCAGAAAAGTAAACACAGTGAAAGCAGAGGACTGACTCCTGAAAGTTGTAGTCTACCCTACATATGTGTGCAGTGGCGTGAGCACACGGCCCCCACCTCAGACACACACACGTGTGTGTACAGTTGCACAAACACACGGCCCCCAACTCAGACACACATGCAAAGTGAATAAATGAATGAATGTGATTTAGAGAAACACAGAAAAAATAAATCTAATTGCTTCTGTTCTGGCTAAGTTGTAAGGAAGCCAAATGTCTATGATGGAAGAGTAATGGCCATAGACATTTTGAAGCTAATTTTTAAATTGCATTCATTCAGGGGCTGGAGAGATGGTTTAGCAGTTAAGAGTGCAGACTGGTCAGGCATGAGAGCTCACACCTTTAATCCCAGTGCTATTGAGACAGATGCAAGTGGATCTCTGAGTTTGAGGCTAGCCTGGATTACATAGAAAGACTCTGACTCAAAGGGGGGGGGCTTTATTGTTCTTGCAGACAACCTGAGTTTGGTTCCCATGGTTCTCAGCACCCATGTCAGACAGCTCACAACTGCTAGGACCAGCTCCGGAGGAGCCAATGTGTTCTTCAATGTCTAGCACCTGCATATACCCCATGCACGGACACGGACACAGACACAGACATAATTACAACTAAAGTAAGTCTTTAAAAAGTTCTTTTTAGAGGCTGGAGAGATGACTCCGAAGTTAAGAGCACAGGCTGCTCTTCCAGAGGTCCTGAGTTCAATTCCCAGCACATGGCCACTGACAACCATCTATAGCTGTAATACTATGGAATATAATGCCCTCTTCTGGTGAACAGAGGCATAAGCAGGCATAACACCCATATAAATTACATGAATAAATACATTTGATTTTTGGTTTTTTGAGACAGGGTTTCTTTGTAGCTTTGGAACCTGTCTTGGAACTCGCTCTGTAGATCAGGTTGGCCTCAAACTCACAGAAATCCTCCTGCCTCTGCCTTCCAAGTGCTGGGATTAAAGGTGTGTGCCACTATTGTCTAGCTAAATAAATATATTTTAAAATTATTTTTAAATCTACTGTTTGGCCAGCAAGATGACTTACTGGTGAAAGCTCTCCCCATACAAGTGTGAAGACGCAATAGATCCCTGACTCCCGGAGATGTCGATGTGGTCTCCACATGATCCCATGGCACAGGCATCCTCACACATACAAATGATTGTGTATAATGTAAATTTTTGTTCCAAAAGGTCTATGCCAATTTACTCTTTCACCATAGGTAGTCGGCCTCCACACATCTGCACACATGTGCATGCATGCATGCATGCGTGCGCACGCACACAGAATGAAAAAATTTAAAAGTGTTTTGATCCTTCATGGGATAAAAATTATAAATTTATAAACATTCCTAACTGAGCTGTTATTAAAACATGATTTCTCTTTTCTGTCTCAGCAAAATCTAGCTCTATTTTGCTTCAAAAGTCAACTAATGATTTTCCAGAATCTGGCCTTAAAAATTATAGTGCGTGCCTTTCATCTCAGCCCTCAGGAGGCAGATGCAGGGGGATCTCTGTGAATCCAAGACCCGTCTGGTCTACACAGTGAGTTCCTGGACAGCCACGGCTACACAGAGAGACCCTGTTTGAAAGGAGAAGAGAAGCAATCTAGGGCACTAACATTAACATACCTTCCCCCCCCCCCCAACTAGTCTGAGAGTGATATCATTCTGAGTTCCAAACCTCAGTGGAAGCATCTGATTGGGTGAGCTGGTCCATCATGACATTACTAGATCCATGAGTCTTGTCTCCCTAAGAAAACTCAGTCTTGTGAAATTCATAGCCTCTCTGCATTTGCTAATTTCTTGGCAGTAAAGCTGCTAACTCAACAGACTCAAGAATCCGTTACTATGGCTCCCAAAACAACCAGACTAGAGATCTGCCAGGCTGCCTTCCCTGACGGCTGCTGTGGTCAGGGCTTCTGAGATTCTAGGCAGCTGAATGAAGACTGGAGATTCTCAGACAAGATGGCCTTCCTCTCAGCAAAATGCCTTCTATCACAAGGCCTCACCTTGAACAGGCTTTTCTTACCGGAAATGCATGTTAGCAGGAAGAACAGAACATGTGTCATCACACACATAAAGATGTCCATTGTAGGGGAAACTGGGAACTCCCAAAACACCCAGTAGAGGGGAAGGACCAACAATGAGAACACAGAATACAATGGGTCATTCACAACCAATCCACACTCCAGGAAGCCAAAGGGACCAGTACTGAGGTAGAGCTCACCCAAGGCCCCGCTGGGCAGACCTGGCGCCCTTGCCTCGGGTTCTCTTGATCAGACCCTGCTTTCCCATGCCTCCACTCACCAGGAAAATTCCACTGTCACATTCTGGGGAACCAGCAGTTTGCCTGGGGTCAGGGCAGAGCACCCTGAAGGGAGGACTTCAGGGACAGGATGGTCTGCAGACAGGCTCCTAGGCCGGAGGGCAGCCGATTCACAGCCTTAGTCAGTGTTCAGGACTTTGAGTGAAAAGCCTCGGAACTGGCTTGTGTGTCCTCCCTGCCCTCTGGTGTCTGTGACTCTAGCTCCACTCCCTGCCCAACTGTGCTCCAGAGCCCCAGGGTGTGTGGGATCCCTCAGGGCCTCCACAAGTCCAGGTTTTAGGGGCCAAGGGTTCTTCCTCCTCAGTAACCTAGGGGACTGGAGAGGAAGGGGCCCTAAGTCTAGTGGAAAGACTATAAGCTTCATTAAAGCGATCCCACCTGGAAGAACAAGATCTAAGGGACCATCAGAGTGGCCCAAGGATTGTTCCAGAGTCCTTTAGTAAGGGCTATGCAGCCCTGTGGATTTCTAGATTGACTTTAAAAAAAAAATAAAAGGCTCTGTGTGTAAAATCACTTTGCTGTCCAAACTGACAATCTGAGTTTGATCCTAGGAACCTACGTGATAAGAGGAGAGATTCAAGTCTGGCATGCTGTCCTCTGCCCTTCACAGTGTGTGAATGCTCACACACACACACACACACACACACACACGCACACCCCTAAATAAATATATTTATAATTAATATAAGCCTCTGTGTGGTAATTTGGGAAGTAGCTGTCAGGTATTTGGAAACAGGCGAGCAGAAGAGAAACGTCCCGTTACAAACTTCTTTTGTTGTTGCTGTTTTTTAAATTAATGGTTGCATTCCAGAAGAAATGGGGCATCAGTCAAAGGAAAAACCTAACGGCAAGAGGGGTTGACACCCTGGGGCCACATCTTCCCCAGGATAGCAGCCAGCAGCGAGGTGGCGGGTCCAGGACCATCCACTCCTTTGCTCTGGCAGGAAGGGACTGAGCCCAGGACAGCGCAGAGCAGAAGCTGAGACACCGGGCGAGTTATCATGGCGGTACAGCGCCTGTTTCCTTCGCTGTTAGAGGAGAATCTGTAAGACTGCTTCAGAAGTAGGGTGACCCAGCAGAGTCCTTGGTGGCCAATGGCAGGTCCCGCAAGCCCCTTCTTATGACTTTGGGGCCCCTTCTGTACTCTGTCCTCACAACGTGTATCTAGACTCCTTCTGTTACGAGACTGTGCCCAAGATTGCTGGACCTGGGATAGGTTTCTCGGATCCAAGAGCCTCTGTAAGCCCAGGGGACTGCACTACTGTGGGGGACACGTGGTGCCTCGGGAATGGCCCTGGACCTGCAGTAACTCTAGAGTCTCCAGGATTCCTGGAACCTTTGAGGAAGAGGAAGCCAGGCCTTGGTCCCCAGGCTGCAGAAGGCTCCCAGCCACCTGAAGAGAAAACCACAGGCAGGCACAGCTTTTCATTCACTGGGCTGGTTTCGCCCCCTAGTGGCAAACTCTGGTCCTCTCCCAAGCTCAGGGTACACATCAGGGCCCCAGCTCAAGGAGAGGCTAGGGTATGGGCTTGTGCGAAGCCTGGACCTCACGCACTTTTTCCTAAAGATCTCTCCTGAGTTCTTGGATTATAGGAGGGAGTAGCCACATCTATCTAGCTCTACCCCCCAATTTTTATTGAGAATATACGCATTTTAAGAGTAAGTTTAAGTCACTGCAAAGAAAGTAATTTTTTTTTTTTTTTTGGTTTTTCAAGACAGGGTTTCTCTGTGGCTTTGGAGCCTGTCCTGGAACTAGCTCTGTAGACCAGGCTGGTCTCGAACTCACAGAGATCCACCTGCCTCTGCCTCCCGAGTGCTGGGATTAAAGGCGTGCACCACCATCGCCCGGCTTCAGAAAGTAATTTCTAATCTATTGGAAGCATTGGCCTTTTTGTTGCTTTTTGCTTCTTAGTGTTCTGAGAAAGGGTCTCATGTAGAATATACTGGCTTTAAAAACTCATCCTCCACGTGCTGGGATTACAGCCTCTGGATTTTTGAGATAGGGTCTCATTCTGTAGTCCAGGCTAGGCTGAAAGTCTTCCAGGTCGAATTTGCACTCATGGCAACTCTCCTGCCTCAATCTACTGCATGCTGGGATGACAGACGTCAGCCACCATACGTCTCATAGAGCTATGCATGTCCTACACCCCTGGGACTGTCTTCATTCTTGCCTTTGTCTGTCAGTGGACCTGGGGCCCTCAGGGACCCTGTCACGTTCCAGGTGGGATGGAGGCAGAGAGTGGGAGATTTCGTCACAGCATTCAGAACACTGGAGCAGCTTAAAACATGGGGGCTCTTTGTTTCTGGAATTTTCCTGCCTTACTTTTGAAAGCTGGCGGTGAGTGGTTCAGTCTGAAGACGGAGTGCGTGTGGATGAAGGCAGCTGTTTGTGTTCAGGTAGTGGACACGCGGAGGGCCTGGCCTGGTAGACAGAGTGAGTGTGGATGAAGACAGCTGTTTGTGTTCAGGTAACTGACACGCGGAGGGCCTGGCCTGGTCTACCGTCCTGAGAGCTCTGTCTGAGCAGGCAGGATGATCAAAGCTCCTGTGGAATCAAGAGCACAGGGAGCTACTGGGCACCGATGTGGGATAGTGGAGCCAGTCTGGCA